TTGTAGATATTTCTGGTTTTATATAAGGCGAACTGAGAGAACAGTAATAAAATGTTTGTTTACAAATTTTGTTTGCCGATCGGTGACTGCTTTGTTAGCGTGCATGGGTACGACCTCGTAAAACTACGCGTTGGTAAATGTTTGTTTCAAAGCAGGACAGGGCTGTAAATCTTATTCTTATCGGCTGTAACATATATCTGAGGAGTAGCAAAGAATAAACTTGAATTATGGGGATATATAAAATCAAAGCAAATGCCCGGAAATACTCTTAGCGTCGCGAACAATGAATTTGAATTTTGTAAATTTACTTGCGTTCATCTAACTCGCTTCCGATTGGTTTAAAAACAATCAGCTACTGTCAGAACTCACACATGCGCATTATCGTAAACAAGTCCCTTTAAGTTTTGCCTCATTTTGACGCGTTAACTCATGTGGTGATTCTTGCGTCCTCGGCGTTCATCTTCCAAAGGTTTGCTGAGGTCTGATATTCTGTCTTCGTAAAGCGTTTATCTTTCAAAAAGTTTGCTGAATCCTCGTAAAGCGTACATCGATTTGTGTTTGCTGAATCGTCCAAAGTGGTCATTCTTTCAGAAGTTTGCTGTTAAATTTTACTTTGGATTAAGCCTTCATATTTATCGTTAGCAGCTTTTATGAAAGAAAGAAAATTAAAACTGTGTTTAATAAAACACGTTTTTAAACATGTTTAAGCTTTGGTGTGAATGGGGCTTTAGTTTAATGTAAAACCTACAGATTAACACGAAATTTATTTCAGACTGAAATGCGTTTTCAGTGGTATTATACTGATGATAGGTAGAAATACATTTAAATGACAGTGCTGGGAGAACAGCCCAACGGGAATATCTGGATTCATAAGGCTATGAGCTCTTTTTTCTTGCTGGGAGCAACTGCGATGTCTTTTCATTACCGTACGATTCTCGAAACAGACTTGAACTGTCCTGTGACAGTGGCCCATGGCCCAAGCGGCACAGGCAAAACCACTGCTCTTCTTTCAGAACTTTCACTTTTCTGACTTTTGAAGGCGAAAAGAATAATTTCTACTCAAGGGGGACCAAAGAAAGCTTCCTATCAATTTTGGCAAGGCAGACAGTTCCTACTGGCTTAGACGACCCACAGTCAGTGAAAAACATAAGCGACCTGCTCATTAATTTAACTCTTCCGAGGTGCAAAAAAACACAAGCTTGAAAAGAGGTGCCAGTAAGCTAAAGCCACTTGGCACAGTACTGACAAGTGCAAATTTTACACCGATACAAAGTGCAAGGTACCGCTTAGTAATCTTAATCGACGGTTACCACTTTTGAGATCAAATCTTAACAGGTCATTATGATCACACCTTAGAAGCAATATGAAGAAATGAAAATCACTTTATATTCAGAAGGGAATTTTAAATATTGCTGATACAACATCAAAAAATTTGATTTTTGAAAAATCCACCTACCCAGCCGCCATACAATTAGATAATTAAAACCGTTTGTATCAAATTATGGAAAGAGAACCTTTAGTGTAACATTGGTTTTACAGAGGACTTCCACAATTAGGAAATGGATATTTACTTCAAACACATTAGAGACTATTACTGTTTATAAGGTTTTCAACGTCATAATGACTATGTCAGCGACATCATTAAGTGATGATTTTATAAATTAGTAGAAATAAAATTAAAGGAAAAGAGTTATGATATTGAGACTGAAATACATGTCTCTTTAAATGGAATATATGAGCCAACCTGTCATTCTGTGTATGTTTAAGAAAAACTTTGACAAATAAAGTCTACTTAAAGTGATTGCTTTGTGTGAACATTGGTTCAATACCACATTGGTGGAACCTACAGGAAAGGAATTGAGAACGCCGAGAGTCCTGATGTTTCCCGAGACGAAATCAACAAGGGAAACATCATTACGGACCTGACATTAAGTGCTCTGTTATATTTATAGACTTCCACTTTAACAGCGTCAATAGAAATAGTCCAAGGAAATAAAAGCAGTCGACTCGAATTAGTAATTACCGGCAACTATTAGAAACTACCAGCAACTACTAGTAACTACCAGCAACTACTAGTAAATACCAATAACTTATACCACCAACTACTAGTAACTATCGACAACTACTAGTAACTACAAGTAACTACTAGTAACTACTGATAACTACTAGTAACTACCAGTAACTACCGACAACTACCAGTAACTACCACCAACTACTAGTAACTACCAATAACTACTATTAGCTACTAGTAACTACCAGTAACAACATTAACTACTAGGAACTACCAGTAACTACTAGTAACTACCCATAACTACTAGTAACTACCACTAACTACTAGTAAATACCAACAGCTACCATTAACTACTAATAACTACCAGTAAATACTAGTAACTACTAGTAATTACCGACAACTACCAGTAATTACCACCAACTACTAGTAACTACCAGCAACTACTAGTAACTACTAGTAACTACCAATAACTACTAGGAACTAATAGTAACTACCAGCAACTACTAGTAACTACCAGTAACTACTAATAACTACCACTAACTACTAATAAATGCCAAGAACTACTATTAACTACTAGTAACTACCGACAACTACTAGTAACTACCAGTAACTACTAGTAACTACCAGTAACTACCAGTAACTACTAGTAACTATCGATAACTACTAGGAACTACTAGTAACTACCAACAACTACCAGTAACTACCAGCAACTACTAGTAACTACCAGTAACTACTAGTAAATACCAAAAACTACCATCAACTACTAGTAACTACTAGTAACTACCAGCAACTACTAGTAACTACCAGTAACTACTAGTAAATACCAATAACTACCATCAACTACTAGTAACTACCGACAACTACTAGCAACTACTAGTAACTACCAGTAACTACTAGTAAATACCAGTAACTACTAATAACTACCACTAACTACTAGTAAATACCAAGAACTATTAACTGCTAGTAACTACTACTAACTACCGACAACTTCTAGTAACTACCAGTAACTACTAGTAACTACCAGTAACTACTAATAACTACCACTAACTACTAGTAAATGCCAAGAACTACTATTAACTACTAGTAACTACCGACAACTACTAGTAACTACTAGTAACTACCAGTAACTACTAGTAACTACCGATAACTACTAGGAACTACTAGTAACTACCAACAACTACCAGTAACTACCAGCAACTACTAGTAACTACCAGTAACTACTAGTAAATACCAAAAACTACCATCAACTACTAGTAACTACTAGTAACTACCAGCAACTACTAGTAACTACCAGTAACTACTAGTAAATACCAATAACTACCATCAACTACTAGTAACTACTAGTAACTACCGACAACTACTAGCAACTACTAGTAACTACCAGTAACTACTAGTAAATACCAGTAACTACTAATAACTACCACTAACTACTAGTAAATACCAAGAACTACTATTAACTACTAGTAATTACTAGTAACTACCGACAACTACTAGTAACTACCAGTAACTACTAGTAAATACCAAAAACTACCATCAACTACTAGTAACTAGTAGTAACTACCAGCAACTACTAATAACTACCAGTAACTACTAGTAAATACCAATAACTACCATTAACTATTAGTAACTACTAGTAACTACCGACAACTACTAGCAACTACTAGTAACTACCAGTAACTACTAGTAAATACCAGTAACTACTAATAACTACCACTAACTACTAGTAACTACCGACAACTACTAGTAACTACCGACAACTACTAGTAACTACCAGTAACTACTAGTAACTACCGATAACTACTAGGAACTACTAGTAACTACCAGCAACTACCAGTAACTACCAGCAACTACTAGTAACTACCTGTAACTACTAGTAGCTACCAGTAACTACTAGTAAATACCAAGAACTACTATTAACTACTAGTAACTACCGATAACTACTAGTAACTACCAGTAACTACTAGTATCTACCGACAACTACTAGTAACTACCAGTAACTACTAGTAACTACCACTAGCTATTAGGTAGAAGACACAATACTACATATTACACAGAGTGTATATTACCGGTGCACTTGTGGCTTTCTACCATGAAGTATATACCCGAAATTCAATGACCAAATAGTCCATAGAATATTCAAATCACAGAAAAGATGATAACTTCACTTCGCATGTAATTATAACAGCATATACACAATTAAGATTTGAAAAACACACTAATAATCAACTGGTTTTTAGTAAGTTCCGTTTTTTTTAGGTATTTTCTATGAAAGAGGGTGTTAATTTCAGTGATATTCGCACATGAAGAAGAAAATCTAGCTAGTATCCGGCCGGACGCCCATACAGTTTATCTACAAATTTAGAATGTCAGAAATAATAAAAAAAACATTTAAGTTGAGCACACTTGAATCGCGAAATTTAATGCCTTTTTTCATATGCCATTAATTATTAAAATCGCGAAAACTGAAGAGATAAGACCCCGCGAAAACCAGCTGCCACGAATGTAACCACGAAATTAACTACCGATTAGGTTTTAAAAACTTAGCCCTACTTTTCTTTCAGGCGTTCCTTGTCCACAGGGCTGGGTGCGATTTAAGGGATACTGCTATCGTGTCAGTAGCTCCATCAAGACTAGGCAAAATGCTCAAATGTACTGCAAAGAACTGGGAGGAAATCTGGTGAAAATCAACAGCAAGGAAGAAAACGAGTTTGTACTAAACCTCGTAAACAAGCTCGCCCCATCGCTGAAGCAGATTTGGATCGGACTCGAGTGGGACTCTAGCCTAAAGGCCTTCGTGTGGTACGATCATTCAGTTCCTACCTACACCAAATGGTCCCCAAGTGAACCAAATGGAAATGGTGTGGAGCCTTGTAGCAACATGTGGACTGGTCACGAGGGGAGTTCTACTAGGGCATCTGGCGACTGGAATGATCTCACTTGTTGGCATACTGGTTTACCCTGTGGTCTTGTCTGCAAGAGGCTGCCCTAAGTACATGTAACCAGACTCCCGATCAAAGCCGACAGTAGATTGTACTGGAAAAATTAAAGCAGGTTCTCTGTCGACATTTTAAAATGCAGACAAGAAAGTATTTTAGTGCTAATTTGTAAAGGATTAAAAAAGCGGCTTGTGAGTGAAATAAACATTATGTATTCCTTGTATCTTGTTTGTTTTTTCTTTTATGTAGACAATTCTTTTTTCTGGCTCATTTAGGTCTATCAGTGGCAGATCAGACCTTCAGATAAGTGGGGGGAAGGGGGAGGGGGGGGGGAGGAGGGAGCGGTGATTTACGGGCCCGGTAAGCTGTCCCCGTTTACATTAAAGATCGAGGTTTCGACAGTTTAGCATCTAACGTGATAAAACTATCAGTTAATGAAACAAAATGGAGAAGTTTGCTAGCCAGGACTCGCGCTCTTATTCTTTAAATTTCTATTTGAATATTTGATTTCGGGCCCGAAAAGTTACCGGGACTTTTGAGAAACGGGTCTCTGGTCTCCAACAATTTTTTTTCGGCCCTTTGGCCCTCAGGTTTGGTCGAAAAATGGAGGGTCTCGGGCCCCCCGGGCCACTCCCCCGGATATGCAATTTTACAACTGAAGAGACGTTGGCAGAAGTGCTGCTCATTGATTTTATATCATTTCAAAAATATTCTTCACAACCACGAAAAAACTGCCACGAATGTAACCGGCACGAAATTAACTACCGATTAAGTTTTAAAAACTTCCTGCTTTTCTGTCAGGCGTTCCCTGTCCACAGGGCTGGGTGCGATTTAAGGGATACTGTCATACTGCTATCTTGTCAATACTTGGCAACATGCCCAGACGTACTGCAACGGACTGGGAGGAAATCTGGTTAAAATCAACAGAAAGAACGAGGAAAACTAAACCTCGTAAACAAGCTCGCCCCGTCGCTGAAGCAGATTTGGATCGGACTCGAGTGGGACTCTCGCGTAAAGGCCTTTTGCGTGATACGATCATTCAGTTCCTACCTTCACCAAGTGGGCCCCAAATGAACCAAGTGGAAAGGCCAGAGAGCCTTATGGCCACATGTGGACTGGGCACGAGGGGAGTTCTGGTAAGGCATCTGGCGACTGGAATGATCTCACTTGTTGGCATACTGGTTTACCATGTGGTCTTGTCTGCAAGAGGCTGCCTTAGATGTTAAGCCGGCCTTATGCCCGATCAAAGCCGAAAGTAGAGTGTAGCGCAAAAATTAAAGCAGATTCTGGGTCGACATTTTAAAATGAAGACAAGAAAACATTTTAGTGCTAATTTCTGAAGGGTTAAAAAGGCGGGTTGTCACTGAAATAAACACTCTGTATCCCTTGTTCAGTTCTTGTTTGTGTTTTTTCTTTTATGTAGAGAATTCCTCTTAGGATCCATCCTCGTCTATTACTCACGAAAGTGGACAAAATTAAGTCGAAATTCGACATTGGTTGCAGGTCTAAATCAACCCAATAAGAGAACAGCGAGCAAACGGAGGTAAAAGGGCGAAATTCCTGATGTCACACATATATTTCAAAGTAGACAGACTGCAAATTATCTTAGTTGCTAAAAAATATATATCTACGTGCCGCAACTGTTCATCAGTAGGATGCCTAAAATGCGTGCAATTCCACAATTGGTTTCGGCTCCATTAAATCCTATACCAATTGCAGAACATTTTAGGAGGAGCCACCCACCATGTGAGCACAGTCACGGACAATGTATAAGTGAGGAAAATAACGCAAAGTAAAATTAAGACGTTAATAAACGAACTAAATGTACACGTCAATTAAATAAATAAACAAATAATGCGCGCGCTCAAAAAAAAATTGTACGCGCACACGTACCGAGATACATCTCAAATACAACTGTAGCGGCTGGGTTCCCTGTTTCGTTTGTTTTCCCGCCTTTAGAGGTCATGTGACTTTGTTTTTAGTTGCCTTTTGATACGTTTCAGCGAGTGTTTGCAGCTTGGGCATTCACTCGAAGTAACGACCAAAATTGATCGGTTTCGACGCATTGACGACTGTATTGTTTGGAACATTGTCTTCGTGTATTGTCACGATTCAAGATTGTAGCCGTCCTTGCAGTACTGGAAATAAAGGTCCGTAAACAAGAGTGAATTTCGTCGCTACAGTTACTTCGAACGCCGAGCTGCATTTAGATGATTTGTTGGCCTACGAGCACCGTTCTCAGACTATTTGTCCTATCTTATTGTGAATATTGGTATTTTGAGTCCTGGTGATAATATTTGGCGTGCAACACTGGCCGTGAGTACTTTCTATGTTTGTATACAAGGGTTTTTGATCCCTTGTTGTTTTGTGATGTCGGTTTGGGATCTTTCGAGCGATGATGGCCGAGATACGGCACTCGATCTCACAAAAACTCCGGATTTGACACTTTGTGAACCTCAAGCCTTCTCTACCGCAATGGAAAACGAAAACAAGGAGTCTGGTTACGCTACAAAGCCGAACGAAACGACAAACTCGCCGCCTCTGGACGAAAACGCATGTGTTTCAGAGGAAATGTGGAATGGACAAGGGAACGCGGAATTGGATCAGACCGTTATCGATAAGAGACCTCGGAAACTAACTGAAAAGGGCAAAGGCTATCGCCTCGTGCAAAGGAAAAGAGAAAGAAATAAACTTAAACGAAAAATACAATCTCAGATTGCTAACATCAGCACGCTGTTGGGCCATGATAAGAACCTTGAGTTAATCAGTGATTTGTCTATTAAACTAAATGATCTGTTTGAGCAGTTTGGTGATCAACACGAAGAAATACAAGAACCTCTTACAAAGGAGGAACAAATTACGGATTCTGAGAATTATGATGACTTGTACCAAGAAATTAGACTCATTCGTGAAACAGTACAGAAGTGGACGATCGATGCCAATCAGCGGATTAGAGATGAGAAAATTGAAAGGGGTTCTGCCAAGAGCATCAAATCAAAGGGCTCTAGGTCCTCGAAGTTGTCAACCACATCCTCAAGGGCGAAGGCTCTCGAAGCCAAGGCAAGGCAGGCTGAGTTAGAGGCAAGGATCGCACAACTTGATCAAGTCGGGGCTGCGAAGAAGGAAGCAGAAAGAGCCAAACTAATGGCCGAACGTGCAGCTGTGGCCGCTGTCAACAAAGTGTATGAAGACGCTATGAAGGAGGATGACGAACAATATTTGGGCTCGGATGATCCTGACATCAATGATACAGTTGCCGACGATCAGCCTAAACCAAAGAAGTCTTCGCAGACCACTGAGCCTAAACAAACCATAGATGAATCCAGAATTTTGAGGAAAACTGAAGCAGAAATTAAGCATTTCAATGATCCTGCCGACAATCAGCTGGAATCTATAAGCGCTTTAGACCCTAAGGCACCGGAAATTGCGTTGCCCTCTGTACCCTTACAATCGGAATGTGTTGTTAGCAATGGTAGTGCAGCATACTGCAACCCCATGGTAACGAATTGCAATGCCGAAGTGACCAGTCTTGTACCACCAGCGGCCTTCTAGGAAAAGATGGAATTAAGAATGACGCAACCCCCGCCTGTGACGATTGCAACTTCATGGAACTCCCGAGAAAGTGAGCATTAACACTGTAACACACAAGAATCATGACTGTGAACTCATCAGAGTTAAATTTCTGATACGCCCATTGAGACGAGATGGGCCCTTGTACTCAATACCTCATGCCTTGGCTATACAGGACTTGAACGTTAGTGACCGGTATTGTCCGAACCAAGTAGATTTAACACAATGGCCACATCTTGCACATTTAAAACTGTCGAATATTCCTGTGGATGTTCCGAAGGTTTCAGTTCTCATTGGCCAGGATGTGCCTCAGGCGCACATAGTTCTCGATTATCGCTGGGGAGATAGCCCACAGAACCAGCCATACGCTATGAGAACTCCATTTGGATGGTGTGTAGCTGGGCCCACAAACAAGGGGGAAGGTAATAGCAAGCCAGTTGCCCTTTCTATATTCGAGTTTGACGTTACCAAGGAAGGGTCGGTCATGGGACTTCACCAGCAAGTTGAGAAGTTTTGGGACTCTGAATCACACGGATTTGGAAATGTTGGTGACAGTTGCGACAGCCGTGATGACAGAAGGGCCGTTGAAATATTGAACAACACCACTAAATTAAAGAACGGGAGGTACGAGGTCGGTCTCCTTTGGCGAAATAGCGACCCTCAGCTTCCAAACAACCGGTCCTTAGCAGAAAGGAGGTTACAGCAACTGAAGAGAAGAGAAGTCCAGAATTCGCCAAGCAATACGAGGCAGTGATGAACGACTATATTGCAAAGGGGTATCCTGTGAAGTTGTCCGCTGAGGAAGCCGCCCACACGAGTAAATGCACATGGTATTTACCACACCACGGTGTAATTAACCCGAATAAAGCAAAGGTCCGAGGTGGTGTACGATGCGGCTGCGGAATTTGGCGGGACATCCCTGAATAAAGAACTGCTGCAAGGACCACAGCTGAACAATTCTCTCGTTGGAGTTCTGATCCGATTCAGAAAAGAGGACGTAGCCATAGCCTCTGATATCGAGAGCATGTTTCACAGAGTAGTCTGCAGGGAGGAAGATACAGATGCCCTACGGTTCTTATGGTGGAGTGAAGGCGTCGAGAAGCCACCGAGTGATCACAAAATGAAGGTGCATTTGTTTGGAAAGACAGACTCTCCATCGATTGCAGCCTGGGCTTTAAAACGAACAGCTGCAGACAATGAATCCGAGTTTAGCAAGGAAGTGTGCGCTATTGTCTCCAAGAATTTCTATGTAGATGATGGATTGTTTTCTGTGCCTACCACTGAACGGGCAATTGATGCTTCACTGCAGTTGATGGAGTTGTTGCAAAGAGGGAACTTTCGGTTGACAAAGTTCGTGTCCAACGTCAAGCAAGTATTAGCTGCTATCCCAGCAGGGGAAAGAACGGTTAAAAACCTGGATTTGGACAAGCTTCCTATCGAAAGAGCGCTGGGCCAGCAGTGGGATACCGAGACCGACTCGTTG